TTCGGCCAGGCCAGAAGCCACACTGCTCTTGTACTCTGGAGGAAGTTATTCCGCGGTTAATCCTTTCTAACACTTATGCGGATGATATATTCTGTCTGTTTGTTACCAGGAACGAATGAAGATGGATCGAGTTTGGTCTGGAACGTCAGTAACTTGCTTATAACGGTAACAATAACTTGCTTGTAACGTCAGTCATGCTTATAACTAAAACTTTCGCGTTGTAATCCTGCTTGTGACTTTCCAAAACACGCGTTCGGTCTGTGCGCTAGGAGGCATTCGTTTCAGAAACGGACGGCGTAAGCTCAAATGCAATCCTGTAAACAACCACTGCTCCATCTAGAGTTAAGAAAGCAGGGTGGCTGTTTCATTAGTTCTCGGTGTTACTCTAGGTCTGCTATGTCACCGCGAAAGTAAAATTCATGTGATAATCTCTAGTTATGGTAACCAATCAATAAATACAGCTTAAAAAGTTGGCCATCATTATTTCCCAGCTAGTGCTTTCATAGATAAAAAAAGAATTCGCTGAAGGTTCTATGAAACATGTAAACAGCAGAGAGGAGGGAAAATGCTAAAAAAAATTTAGCATAAACAACTCACTTGCAATGGCAATAGCTGTTGACGTTTCAGCATCAACGAAGATCTTTTGAACGGCCGTCAAATTCAGAATCGGGAGCTTAGCGAGTATGTCACTTCCGTTACGGAGCAAGTAGAGACCGGTGTCACAGCCTATCAACAAGTCCTATAAAAGAACAATAGCTTACACTTTTCGCAAGTTTTAATAAAAAACGAATACCAAATGATAATATGCAGCGCACATGGGCTTCAACTTGCAGCCTTCGTGAAGTTTCAAGTTAAGCAGAGTCTTAAACATGTAAACTGTATGCAGGTCTAAACTGCGCAAAGAAGAGTCAAGATCATTAACACACATACCTTGAATTCAACAGACAACAAGAAAAGACAATCTTTCAGTGCTGCAGTCCATCGCTTAGCAACTTCGACGCTTTCCGCCACGAGACACATCGTAGACGAAGCTTGACTGAAACAGACCAATTTAACATTTTTGACACAATAACTACTTTCAAATAACCGATCATTTCGTATGTTGAGCTGGATAGCACGAGAAAGGTTTTTTGAAGACAACCCACTTTCATCATTAAAATCTCCTGCCGCACTTAGTTCAAACTTCCAATCACCTGACGCCATATTCACCTCTGATAAAGGTTCACGTTGCTTTGGGCTTTCGTATATTTGAAGAATGCCATTGCTACTCAGGACGCACCAAACGCGTTGCGCCACATCCGAAGATTTGGGACTAAAAGTTTAAAAATGTAATTCTCGAAAACTTGTATATCGCTCGAAACCGTATAATATCCATCCAACCGGAAACAACGATTTTTCCTGATATTCTGTCTACGAAGTTTCCTGCTTCATTACCCAACGAATCTACAAAACAATTTGAGCTCTAGTCTAAGGTTCTACAAAAAATATTTTCTCAGCATTAAACATTTACGTGCGATTTTTAAAATCATGAGTTATTAGTAACATTTTGAATAAGGAGAGTCATTTCCATATTTTCTAAGGCAGGCAACTCAATGCCTGACTTGTCGAATTAGTCTGCAGTTGCAAGATTTTCTCAGCACCTGCAAAGGGAATCATCGAAGGCAAATTTTGCAGTTTCTTTCAGTTCCGCTGATACCAGAATTCGACTTACAAAGGTGCATTGAGGGGTAATGTAGCAGCGGACTCGTAGCTTCATATAATGATGTTGTGGTTATCAATCTTTCCTATAGTAAGTAATTATGCAATATAAACTTTGCAATAAAATCAATGATTCATTTTGCCCTTATTTTGGGTCATGAATCAAACTGAAAAATTTAAAACCAATGCGCTGACAATTCAGCTTTAGGTTCGAGAATGATTTCTGTATTCAAGGCAGCACTGAACATTCATATCCGGCAATTAAAATAGTTTCAGATATGTCTATACGAGTATCGTCAAGGGGCCGTTTACGAAATGAGGAATGTAACGTCACAATGAACTGCACGGCTTCTGAGCAAAGACTTCCTCTAATATAT